GACCTGCATCACTTCGGTCTTTCCTCCCTCATTAAACTGACACGCCGCGATATAACTGGAATATTGTTAAAAGTTTCGTTAAACCCAACTCACTCACTCACCCCAAAAGCAAAAAAAAAAACTCATATAATATTCATAGGACATCTCTAGACTGTTGTACAGTAGTCTATTGTACAATTCCGACTATATCATAAGCATGTATTTATGAATCACTATCAAATAGTGATGATACCACGTGTTCGCGAAAAGGTGAGCGTATCCTGCCCCGCCGGTGGCACCCATCACAAACACATGCAAAAGCAAGTTAGGTGCTCATCGATACAAACACGGAACATGCTGTACAAGTCAAAATAGGGAATTGCATCAGACATCATTGTTGTCACTGATGCTACAAACTTGGACACGTCTTCCACATGTCCACTCTAAGCTTGTGCATAATCTCTCAAATAGGAATGCGCGAACGCTGGCTTGCTTATGAAAACACGTGTATTTATTCGTCGATGTATGATAGTTATATGCAATGTTCAGAATATGGCCTCTTCAGGCCGTTTTACTTGTGAGGAGGCCAGATTCTCTTAGTTCGGCATCCTCCCCCTCAGATTCTGAGATTGCTATTGATACATCCTTGAACGGATCTCGTCGATCGTCTTCAGCAGTATTAGCCTGAAACTCCCAAGTGGGACAGTTGATACGTGCATGTATGACACATTACAAACGATACCAGCAACGACTGGATCAGATCCATTGACGTGTATATATGCTGCACACCAGCGCTAACACACAGTGAGACCCATTTCCTTGCTCTATTCAAATCCTACTGATAATGGGAATTCGTGTCGAAAATGAAAGATTTACTGACATTGGTTGTGGGAGCAGTTCGACCTAGACTTTCAACAATTACAACTACTACTGCTGATGCTGTCACCACTACTACTACTACTACTACTACTACTACTACTGTTACTGCTACTGTTACTACTACTACCACTACCACTACTACTACTACTACTACTACTACTACTTCTACTACTACAACTACAACTACTACTTCTACTACTACTACTACTACTACTACTACTACTACTACTACTACTAATACTGTTACTGCTACTGTTACTACTACTACTACTACTACTACTACTACTACTACTACTACTACTACTAATACTGTTACTGCTACTGTTACTACTACTACCACTACCACTACTACTACTACTACTACTACTACTACTTCTACTACTACAACTACAACTACTACTTCTACTACTACTACTACTACTACTACTAATACTGTTACTGCTACTGTTACTACTACTACTACTACTACTACTACTACTACCACTACCACTACTACTACTACTACTACTACTACTACTTCTACTACTACAACTACAACTACTACTTCTACTACTACTACTACTACTACTAATACTGTTACTGCTACTGTTACTACTACTACTACTACTACTACTACTTCTACTACTACTTCTACTACTACAACTACTACTACTACTACTGCTACTTCTACTACTACAACTACTACTACTACTACTGCTACTTCTACTACTACAACTACTACTACTACTACTACTTCTACTACTACAACTACTACTACTACTACTGCTACTTCTACCACTCCTACTACTACTACTACTTCTACTACTGCTACTATACTACTACTACTACTACTACTACTTCTACTACTACAACTACTACTACTACTACTGCTACTTCTACTACTACAACTACTACTACTACTACTACTTCTACTACTACAACTACTACTACTACTACTGCTACTTCTACCACTCCTACTACTACTACTACTTCTACTACTGCTACTATACTACTACTACTACTACTACTACTTCTACTACTAATAATAATACTAATACTCCTACTACTATAACTACTACTACTACTTCTACTACTACTACTACTACTACTACTTCTACTACTACTACTACTACTACTACTACTACTACTACTACTACTACTACTACTACTACTTCTACTACTACTACTACTACTACTTCTACTACTACTACTACTACTACTGTTACTGCTACTGTTACTACTACTACCACTACTACTACTACTACTACTACTTCTACTACTACTACTACTACTACTACTACTACTACTACTACTGTTACTGCTACTGTTACTACTACTACCACTACTACTACTACTACTACTACTACTTCTACTACTACAACTACTACTACTACTGCTACTTCTACCACTCCTACTACTACTACTACTTCTACTACTGCTACTATACTACTACTACTACTACTACTTCTACTACTAATAATAATACTAATACTCCTACTACTATAACTACTACTACTACTTCTACTACTACTACTGCTACTACTACTACTACTTCTACTACTAATAATAATACTAATACTCCTACTACTATAACTACTACTACTACTTCTACTACTACTACTACTACTACTACTTCTACTACTACTACTACTACTACTACTACTTCTACTACTACTACTACTACTACTTCTCCTACTACTACTACTACTACTATTACCACTACCACCACTACTACTACAATTGATGCTACTACTACTACTGCTGCTGCTATTGATACTACCACTTCTGCAACTACTACCACTACTGCTACTAATGCTACTGGTATTATTATTATTATTATTATTATTATGTACAGATTAAAATGAAAAATGCAGCAAAGAGGGTTTGGGTGATCCTGGCACAGTCAGGCTGGTTAGGCTCATCATCAGCTCTGGGCCCTTGCCCCCTCTACACGCGGCCCAGACAGCGAATCATGTCGCTTAAGATACTGTGTCTGTGCCAAAACTGGACATCCACTGACAATGTCTCATTAAAGTCATTGCATAATCTACATTATATATTTACATTATGATGCAAAATCACACATAGACGGTTTCGAGTGGGAAGTGACTGGTCCTGAGCAGCAAACAGAAAGTCTTCTGTTTCACTTTTCAGGCCAGCCGACTTCATCCAAGCGAAGGACTCTGCAGGATTGCTCACCTTCTCAACACACTGCACATAAACTTGATGCAGTAGTCGTTCAGATAGCCTCGCATTGAATAACTGAGACTAGGTCGATTTGATATGGCACTTCGCTTGGTTGACACTCACTTGTGTACCGTCCAGCAGTACAGAACCATCGACAAAATCAACACTGAATTGAGATTAGGTCCCACATTATTATCATTTTGCTACTACTACTACTACTACTACTACTACTACTACTACTACTACTACTACTACTTCTTTTACTCCTACTACTACTACTACTACTACTACAACTATTACTACTACTACTACTACTGCTGCTACTACTACTACTACTACTTTTACTCCTACTACTTCTACTTTTAATACTACTACTGCTATTGCTACTACTACTCCTACATCAACTACTACTACTACTTTTACAACTGAGAGATTAGGTCCCACATTATTATCATTTTGCTACTACTACTACTACTACTACTACTACTACTACTACTACTACTTTTACTCCTACTACTACTACTACTACTACTACTACAACTATTACTACTACTACTACTACTGCTGCTACTACTACTACTACTACTTTTACTCCTACTACTTCTACTTTTAATACTACTACTGCTATTGCTACTACTACTCCTACATCAACTACTACTACTACTTTTACAACTGAGAGATTAGGTCCCACATTATTATCATTTTGCTACTACTACTACTAATACTACTACTACTACTACTACTACTACCACTACTACTTTTACTCCTACTACTACTACTACTACTACTACAACTATTACTACTACTACTACTGCTGCTGCTACTACTACTACTACTACTTTTACTCCTACTACTTCTACTTTTAATACTACTACTGCTATTGCTGCTTCTACTCCTACATCAACTACTTCTACTACTACTTTTACAACTACTACTGCTGCTTCTACTACTACTGCCACCACTACTGCTCCTACTAACTCCAATCAGTCTACACATCAGCCTACGCTTTGTAAAGATAAACGTTTCGATCGATCCAAAATAACTCTGACTTTTTAAGACTGTGATCTTGTTAGGTAAACAGTCTCTGTGTTAAAAAAAGGCTGTTCTAATTTTGCAGATGCGAAAAAAACGACCTCGCAACAATTGTCTGTTAACCTTACTGGATCGTAGTGACTTCCATCCTGGCGAATATTTTCAGCCAGGGGAAAATTGAAAACATCGACTATTTACCTTTAGAGGTCCAAATTGAGTCCGATTTACATGTCATGCATTGCCATGCAGTGCAATATTGTCATGACCATGTCATTTACAGAAATCAAATAAGTCCACCTCTTTGATGCGCTGACGCTATTACGAAGGCACAAGACCAGCAGCATACGATAGAAAGAATTATGTAATCATAGCGTGTAACTGCATTTCTGTCATATTTCAACAGAAAATTGGGTGTTTGGAATGAAAATATGAACAGGTTTTCCAACCACAAGAGCTGCGCGTCCAGACCAAGAAGTCAGACTAAGGAGAAATAATTGATGCGATTCATATCGATCCGATATATCATCTATTAAAAGATCACTCGGATCTGTTGCGCAAACGTGTGTTTTTTTCTTAAAACACTAACTCTTTACATCAGTACAAAAAGTTTAAACATTTATTTAAATTCTCATGTCTACAACCAACACGGTCGTGATCGCCGAATTACCTAAGACATAAACATGACTAAACGGTTGTCTAGGTTTTAAATCAATACGCCCTTCGTATACTACTTTTTCTCCGTACTAACAATATCGCTTGTCTCCTTTATCAACAATACCGCTTGAAATAGACTTTATTGAACAACAGTACACACGCTGGTAGTGGCGGGCCTGCGCTTGGAACAGCCCTCAATTCGGATAACCGCCAGTCATATGCGAGCTCCACCAGAGATTTAGCCCTACCTCCGCCTATCTTCCAGCCTTCGAGTTTCTTGTCAGATCGATGTGAGCGGTGATGTTCGGAGCTCGACTCGTACTTACACTAGATTGATACAACTTTTCTACCTGTGTAATCTCCTTGCGACGACATGGATATATTTCTTCCTATCAGTTTGACCTAACGGGGTCCTTATTTCAACACGTATTATTTTTGATAATAAATGATATTCGGGATGGCAACGCCGGGATGGGAGAGAGAAACTTGTGAAGGATAAGCAGGTGTGTCTAAGTCGGCGGTTGATAGGTGTTTCACCATTGTGTCAACATTCAAAAGGATTTCACCAACGTGGGTGGTAAGTACATCTCTTTTAATAACCTCATCATCATTTGGAAATTATAAATGTATCAATTTTTGCCACACAAATGTCAGAGTATATGGATAATACACAATGCCCTACACACACCTGGCAATTGGCTTGACTTCTCGTCATATGCCCACATGTCTTTAGTGATGTGGCGAGCCCCAATACGGTTTATCGAGGTCATCTTCGTTATCAGTACTAATATTTTATCAACTGTTGTAGCCGTGAGGGTGTTATCAACTTGTGATATACCTGTTATCTGCTATGTCGCCTCTATGTCGGCTCCATGTGTCGGCTCTATGTGTCGGCTCTAAGTGTCGGCTGTGTATATCTATGTAGCGACTCTTTTTCTCCCGATTCACAATGCATAATTATATATGATTATTAAAATGTTTAGCGACATTAATCGGGAACGCGCTATGTGATCTACTATTGTCCATCTATGTATATAGTCAAGTGTAGCCATGGCGCGCATTAACATTTAACAGATATATACTGGTATCATATTAATGATATCAGCTACGCGTCTATTAAAAGCAAAATGACTATTTGTGTTTGAGTCGACCATATCATATAAGACATCAGTATCGTCTTACCAAACAATTTTCTAAATTATCATGATCGAAAACAGTATCGCCGAGAACAGGTAAAATGAAACTGCTTCGTTTATAAAAAAGCGCTTTTGTTCTTGCCATAAATATAAATATAAACGACAATACATGTACAAGCAGCCGCTGTGATTATTTCCCTGTATGCGCTCTATGTCAATCTGTGAGACACAGAGCTGTTTCTCGCTGTCAATACCGCACCTATTGCTTCGTGTACCTGAATTGTCTCAGGTGTCACAGCTGTCTAGAGGCGTCATATACAATACAAGGACGTGAGCAAAGACGACATCGTGCATTGCGTGCACAAACATGTGCAGGCCCCAGCTTATGTAAGTGATTCGTACACCTGTACATCTCTGCATCACGTGTGTCGTGAAAAAACGAGCAAAGGATCCTGGAATACGTACGATAACACAAAACCGGCCTTTAAAATGTTTATTTAACTCATATTCGTGCAGGACGCGAGAATACATGGTTTGTGTTACCGGTCTTTGACGACATCAGAATACCTTTGTATTTTGAAGACATGTATATGTTTTTTTAATTGTTGTTGGGCGATAGAACACCTGCGTTTATCGAGTACCGGTAAAGGATAGTATTACACATTCGTTTTTGAGTAAGTTTAAATGTTGTTATATGGGAAACCAAACTCCTATGATCTCTTTCACATATATAACACCAAATGCATTTATACCGCAACCCTTTAACGGTATAACTTATATGTATTTGTCAAAATGCTTTGTACCATTTACATCTATATATGTAGTCATATTTCTCTCAAACGTTAAAGGGGCGGTCGGGTAGCCTAGTGGTTAAAGCGTTCGCTCGTCACGCCGAAGACCCGGGTTCGATTCCCGACATGGGTACAATGTGTGAAGCCCATTTCTGGTGTCCCCCGCCGTGATATTGCTGGAATATTGCTAAAAGCGGCGTAAAACCATACTCACTCACTCACTCACTCACTTAAACGTTAAAATGATTGTATAGCAAATACAAGTACCGCAGTACACTTGTATTGTACAACGTTTGTACGTACAGTATTATCGTATTGGCAGAATGCAGGAATAACTGTACATTGAATTCAGGTACAGGTCTACATGTTTCCACGGAAAGCGAGAATAACTAAGAATAACAAGGCCCACAAGTACAGTATTCGCCGAAAAAAATGTACGAGTACAACGCATACATGTACAATATTAGTTTCCGCATACCGCCGGAAAGGTTGTGCAACGAATACAAATACAATATTTATGTAGGCAGAACGCCTGAATATTTGTACAACACATACACGTACTGTATTCACGTTTCAACGTACAGTAATTGTACAACGACTACAAGTACAGAATTCAGGTATCGACAGAACACCTGTACACATGTACAGACACAGTGAAAGTGCCTCCATGTTAGCACAACGCCAGAATACCTTTACCTTGAATGTACAGCTCGTTATCTGATGAATAAATAATATCCGTCAGTTAACGGCCTGTAGAGATTGCTGTAACTTGAGACGCTATCCATCTTAGGGCTCACTTCTCGAAGCTTCTACAACATTTGATTAAGAAATCTGATGAGGCTATAACCTAGTTTCCTAGCATCTATATGTCATACGGATCCCACATATGCAACTTTCCAGCTGACTTTCCAGCATGAATCACGTATGTTTCCATTTAAGCTGTGAAAATATCAGCAAAATCATTTTTATCTAAGAAGGTGCCCGTTTGGGTAATTAATCTTACTATAAAATACAACGGCTTCTGTTACATGCATGTGATTAAGCATGAATGGTTATGGAACTAAAGAATTGTGGTTTGTGTGGAAACGTGTGACTGTTTGTTCTACAATGTTTGGAGTAAACAGCGTCCTACAATATAATTGATTTATCCGACAGCTGGGCAAGTTAAATCACTGTCCAGTGTGTCGATGTGGACTTGGCTCAGGCCTTGCCTGGCACCAGCTCGGGAGACAATTGTCATCAATGGGGTAGAGGTAGACCTGCTTGCGGTCAGTCACAGATTATCGCCAAGCGGGTCTTGATATTGGTCATTGTTGGAGATTTGTCATCATAAGACGTATTTAATAACTGTTTGAAAAGACGATGGTTCAGAGACTGTGTGTTGTGCTTGTGAAACAAGACAAACATGCAACTCCTGAAGGTGTTGTGGTGTGTGGAGGATGTGAGGTATGGTGTTGTGTTGTGGTGTGGTGTGGTGTGGTGTGGTGTGGTGTGGTGTTGTGTTGCGTAGTGTGGTTGTAGTTTGGTGTGGTGTGTAGGCATACATATATACATATTGATGCAAACACAAAAGAGCATACTTACACGTACATAAACACATACCCATCCCGACACAATTGTACACAGACGCATACACACACACACACACACACACTCACTCACACACACACACACACACACACACACACACACACACACACACACACACACACACACACACACACACACACACACACACACACACACATGTATACTCAGATATACAGACACGTCATCATTCATGTACACAGACACACAAATACACACACAGACAGACAGAGACACAAGGGAATGCACACACATACATGGAGACAATGCATACCAACATATACATGGAGACACAGAGAGACAGACAAATGAGGCAATTTTGCATCATATAACAAGAACAACGACAAAGACCAATGAAGCCCCTTCCAGCTTACTTAAGAAGCTCAACCACTCACTCCTTATTGACCTGGAACTGCCTCTCTATAAATATTTTATTTAAAACGGAATTTAAACACCTTCTTTTGAGACGCAGAAACAAGTTAGGATTCTTTTCTATTTGTGTCAGTTCCTGACTCCCACTTAATAAAATGTTTCTATAATCACACGGCGTTGTGAACTCTCCCCCAGAACCTGCGAGTAACCTCTTAATTCCTTTCATGACAGGCTCCTAATCAAGTTTACTCCGAGTCAAAGGTTCTCACTATTTAATAAGTTATTTCTTCCTAATCGTATTGCATGTAACATTCTTAAGCATCGCTACTATCATCTCTGACCTTTCGTTGTAATCTAATCTACGTTGGCTTAACGTAGAGTTGATGACGTAGAGGCAATGTTTCAGCGGTTGCAAAAAATTACTTCTGTGTAACCTTACGTCCAATTTACTGACTAAAAAACTACAAAAAACAAAACAAAGCAAAAAACTACAGTTAACCGGAAGCAGCCAACACAGGATTACTTATGTTTATGTTGATATATACTCACCACCTAGACTAACATCTAGTCTCTGAAATGAACATATCGTACAGAAGAAAAACAGTTGTTCAATTATCTTTATAAACATATTATAAAAAGGAGCCCAGAGACTCTCTTCAGTTTCTGATACTGCAGTTATCTAGACTTGCCAAACATTATAGACTTGCATGGGATGTATTTGATATATTTGTATCAGGAACATGGAGAAGTATGTAAATCAAGAAATGTTTCCAAAGTGTATTAATTAATGACAAAAATAGATATAGGTCAAATGTTACCACAAAATGTCTTTTCTCGTTTCACTATATGTTGCACGTGATTTCAAAACTTTACACGTAAATCCTGCACGAGACAAATGGTGCATCTCGAGTCATGGTTCTATGACGTCACATGTGATGCGTTCATGAGCGTCGGTTCACACTATATACCAGTATATTCGTTTGCGCATCGAACCAATCTAATATCTCTCATTTTTCAACCAGCATGTATAGAATTCGCGTTTCTTTTGTCCGTGAGTATATATATTGCCACATACAGCGCTGATAAAACAGGATAGTGTGAACCAGGTCTTGCTGTAAAGGCCTGCTTGACGCTTGGGCTGTTATATTACACGTGATTATGTAATGAGAATAAACGATGTCCTGTCAATCATTGATGGTCATACTCTGTCAATCATTGATGTTCATGCCCTGTCAAACAGTAAAGTTCATGCTCTGTCAAACAGTGAAATTCATGCTCTGTCAAACATTGAAGTTCATGCCCTGTCAAACAGTGAAGTTCATGTCTGGCATTCATTGATGGTCATGCCCTGTCAAACAATGAAGTTCATACCTGGCATTCATTGATGTTCATTTCCTGTCAAACAGTAAAGTTCATGCCTAGCATTCATTGATGTTCATTCCCTGTCAAACAGTAAAGTTCATGCTCTGTCAAACAGTGAAGTTCATGCTCTGTCAAACAGTAAAGTTCATGCCTGGCATTCATTGATGTTCATTCCCTGTCAAACAGTAACGTTCATGCTCTGTCAAACAGTGAAGTTCATGCTCTGTCAAACATTGAAGTTCATGCCCTGTCAAACAGTGAAGTTCATGTCTGGCATTCATTGATGGTCATGCCCTGTCAAACAATGAAGTTCATACCTGGCATTCATT